TAGATAAGTCAATCAGAATCAAATATATAAATTACAGTGCAGCAATGGAATATATACAAGCCAAAAATCTAAATACAACTTACAAATTGTTCTTTTTTTTCTCCTAAAACAAGGAAGATGGGAGGAGTTCTGAGAAAAATTGTACGTTTTAGGAAGCAGAGTCATCAACCTCCTTGTTAAAAATAAGGACTATGCCTAGCTCAATAAACTTGAATGCATGATCTATTAGTTGACAAGTCAATTGGTTGGTCACTTACTCTTGATGGTTTAATTCAACCTTATTCATAAAATGGTGTTGAGATCCATACCGTTTCAAGATTCTCATTCAACATGTAAGAGTCTAAACAAAGAGAAAATTTGAGAAGCCTATAACTGATGAACCCACTTTAGAGACTTGTGGCACAAGAGAAGGATAATCATGTGATTTCACCATTAGCGACACTATAGACACTTCTATGAACATTCTTAGAGCATCACACTATGTTCAAATTTCTATATTTTTCTGTATTTATTGCGGATAATCTTAATGGTCTCACATTTTTGGAAACAAGTACTTTTAATTGATAAGTAAACTAATTTCATCATGAGCATATTGCATTGCTTATTAAAAAAAAAAAAATCATTATGAGCATCAGAGGGCACTACCCACTAAAATTCCCACCAGCATCTATTTTATTTAGTTTTTAGATAATATTACCAACGGAAGATAAAAGATTAGACATGATAAGTCACAGCAATCTGCAAAACCTGCAACAGATACAAAGCAAGCTAAAACAGTTCCATCTATAGCATAAGTCACACATGTGTAATATCCAGCCGTATAGGTTGTTATTTTGTTATAGGTTGTTAGTTTGTTACAGATTAACTGTCCAGTGTTAACTATGGTTTAGTAGTTAGATTCAAAGTTAGGTAGTTATGGTTAAGAGTCATTGAAGTGTATAAATATAATTTCATCCTGTAACAATTGATTCGATTCAATACAAAGTATATTCATTCTCTTTAAGACACAAGTTCACCCATGGCTGTTTCAGTATGATTTTTCCTCTGCCTCCTCATGGTGTGCCAGTCTTTGCCTTTGCAGCTCTTCCTGAAGAAGTAGTTGTGGAATCTCAATCAGCTAGTGAGCTAGCCACTCTTGCCGCAACTAATTTATCTAGGGCACCTCCAAAACCTTAACTCATTTCCTATCCTTCAACCTCTAACCTTCAGACTCCAAAACCAATAATTAATTACTTTCCTAAATTTATAGAAAAAGAAATTCTCAGCATTTCCAATAACCATTCACAAATAGTGGAGAAGGACCTATTTGAGGCCAAACTAATAAGGAAGGTTGCCAAATTAAAAACCAATTTTAATTCCTTTAATTTGGTTTATAAATTGTGGACATGCAATCGGTCAACCGCATGTAAATCTCAAAACTAACAAAGAGGAACGCAATTTTTGTCGTGAATAACCTTGAAGAAAACTCTCTTAATTCAACTATCTACCAGCTTAATACTCATCCATACTATGACAGAAAGCAAGTAAAGGACCTATATTTTTCGTAAAATTATTAGACAGACCTTTGATATTCCATATACTATCCTTAGTTTTTCTATAAGAACAATCTCTACTCATCCACATTTATTTTCTAACCTGTTTCCATGGAAATAGAATACACAAGGCAAAGCCTTTCCTTCTCGACGAACAACAGGCATGTAATGACTACATTGGAGAACATCTCCTCGACTGTTTGTAACCTGCAGAATGATAAAAGGCCAAAAGCAAGTGAGGAATTTGAAGAATTTGAAGATGAGGAAATAAATTTAACATGATCAAGGATGCGTAGAAATATAATAGACTAATAGTCTTCAATAAAAGAAAAAGAATAATGACAGGAATTTCTCTATAAATTGTTAGCAGGTCTAATGCAATCACAAATTAGTTGATTCGAAAATTGTTGACATAATTAAAATTGAGATTACGTGAATGCAATCAGAAAATTAGTTGATTCGACAAAATTGACCAGTTGTGTGATGTGTGATGGCCTTGTTAGCAGGTCTAATTATGATAAAAACATGATATTGATCGCAAAAAATAAATAACATTATGGTCACTTATGATTTAACCAAACAAAACAAAAACAAGAGAAATGTATTTCTCACTAACAGTCCAAATAAATTATACTCTATCAAGTCAAGAATAATGACAGGAATTTCTCTATAAATTGTTAGCAGGTCTAATGCAATCACAAATTAGTTGATTCGAAAATTGTTGACATAATTAAAATTGAGATTACGTGAATGCAATCAGAAAATTAGTTGATTCGACAAAATTGACCAGTTGTGTGATGTGTGATGGCCTTGTTAGCAGGTCTAATTATGATAAAAACATGATATTGATCGCAACAAATAAATAACATTATGGTCACTTATGATTTAACCAAACAAAACAAAAACAAGAGAAATGTATTTCTCACTAACAGTCCAAATAAATTATACTCTGTCAAGTCAAGATGAATATTACACCATGAAGCAGCTCAAGCAAAAATAATAATATTTTCTAAGAAAATTCTAAACACAAGGGCTTTTTATTAGAAGGCCTCTTAACAAAAGACTTCCCATGCAAACCATCCCAAAAGAGGTGCTCCAAATTCAAGATTCCATGTAGAATGGGCCCCATAATTCCTAACGTTCAAAAATGACCACACCAACAAAAAAGAAAAGGCCATTAAAAATTACCTACCAACACAATGCCACTAAGATACATGAAGGGGACAAAAACCAAAACCATATATGCCATATAAAAGATTTCAATATAATGACTTGCTATGAGTAGAAAACATAAAGCCAAATTCAGTGTTGTCTGTACACTTGCCTTCAACATCATCTTCATCTTTGTCATCATCTTCATCGTCATCATCTTCATCTTCAATCACTGGCTTCTCAAGCTGGAACAAATTTACTCAACAATTACCAACCATAGAAATAATTTGGTGAGCATCAAAGCGAGTGGTAGAAGTTCTGGACAAAATCCATTAATCATCGCCAAGTATATGATGCCCCATCACTAGAATAGCATAAGCAGTGAAAGGCAATAGATTAATAATTTTAAAAGTTCATAATCCTTCTCATCAATATCTAATATTAACGGAATTTTTCGTAAACCAATTGTAGAGATTGTTAACATTTTCTAAAGGTAACCAAAAAAATCTTCCTCTTATTTATGGTTTTCTCTATTTTCTAAAGGTAATCAAGCTTGGCAAGCATATACAGACATAGAAGACTACTACAATGTTGAAAACAATCTTCCTCTTATTTATGGTTTTCTCTATTTTTTCGTTTCTTTTCTTTTCTTTTTCTTTGTTTATGGTTTATTTGTTTCTCCTTATGTAGTTACTTCAAAGGAATGTTATATAACAAAATTCAGGATCATTTCCATCTTTCAAATCCAAGTAACTTACATATTTGACGTTGCTTTTGAGAATCCATAAACATGGATCTTTGGCAAGGTAATTTCTCTCTACTTGGGCTTTGTTCTAAATATTCCCCTGAATACATCTGCAATAATTGGGCAAAATATTGAGAGAGAGAACAATTGAATGCTAGTGTCTGCAATTTTGAAAATCGCAACATATTCTGTGGTTTCCATTATCTACTCCATTCCTTGTATAACTCCAACACCTTCTCCACTCTTTTCTATATGACATTCAGGTAATAATTTTGAATGACTAAATTACTGATCATAGCGATTTCTTTGAATCTTTAAACTGTTGCCATCCAAGTGCCACATGCTGATGGAACTTAACTTTTTACAATCCTAAGAGAAATGCATAATGAAGACTGTTCACTGAATATAACCTTACTTCCTCATAAGAGGTCCCCAATAAACACATCTCAAAAATCCTTTTTTCAAAGTGATTATGAAAGAGTTAACCAGAGCCAAAGTAGGCCATAGCAAAGTACCTTACTCAGCTAGCCAGAATAAGAATCCTATACCTAATGTTGTAATGCTATTCCCAGGGCTTCTGTCCCATGATAAATTCACAAGAAACGTTAGCCACCTTGAAACTATATCACATCATATGTCCTATTTAAAATTTAATACATCAATTTCTAAGTCCAAGGATAGAACTCAATAAGTAATTATTACCATCTAAATCCTTCACAATACATCACCTAGTAAGTAGCATTTAAAATGGTAGCACAGTAAAATGGAAAAGCTATACGAGCAACTCTCAATATTTAATTTCAGAATACAAAACTTCACTGCTGAAAGAAGAAGAGAATTTATGCTCTATCAGAATAATTACATACCTAGATACTCTGCAGCGTCATTTGGCAAATTCATAACCACTTGTGTGATGGATTGAGCTTTTTGACTTGCAAACATAGCATCAATGAACCTCCTTCCATCCATGTTAAAAACCTAGACATACAAAAACAAAATAATTAAGCCCACATGATACGACTTCGTCGAATGCAAGTTGCAGATATATAAATTACATCTGATGACCTCTAATAAACAAAAATTAAAGCTCCATTATATATTTGCTCCCGGGACAACCTCTCAGTGAAGATTGATTTTTTTTATTTGAATCCAAATTATGCACCATATTATATTTTATAGGTACATGATTCAACAAACCCTCCAATAATTAACAACTAACAACTTACTAATCTCTAATTATAGATAATTCTTTGAGAAACCAACTTTAACAGGGTAGATAAAGTTTTAATTGCCTAATATTTAACAAAAAATATATATTCTAGTCCAAAAAACAAATTTATTCTATCTCCGACTATACTCATTACTCATAATCAAAGGAACAGGGTGAGTAGATGCGAAGAATGTCACTATTCTTGATGTACAGTGGTTGATGTAATTTTACAACACCAATCCTCTTTATTATGAAACTGAGATGTAACCTTACATTCAGGCTTGAAGCAAGAGGTTAGAAGTTCGCAGGCTAATAAAATGACATCAAAATTCAACAGTGAAAAAATATATAAACTGCTCATCTAAACCCAAAACAAATCAAGATAGACAAGCAGAAGAATCATAGTGACAAAATAGATTTCGAGCACATGAAACTATAACATTGAACAAAAAGATGTTAAAGAAAATTGATAATTCCCATTTGGGTATGCATAGAGTTTAACCCATGTTCCCTTAATCTCACCTGCAAAGGAGAATCCCCAGAAGCAGATTCGACACCTGTAACAGAACATCCCATGATCAGTCCATGGCGACGAACACCACGGTACCATTTTGGGCCAATCCTCTTCAGTTGAACATCCTTAAATCCAGCCTTCTCAAACCACTCAATGTACTCTTCCTCTTTTGGGAAGAGCATCCACACATCTGCAAAAAACCGAGACAGCGAAAATGTTGGGTACACAGGACCAATTAGGCATGCCTTCCCTCCAAGTTTCAACACCCTGTAGGCTTCCTTGATGCCACGTTGTGGGTCTGGCCAATATTCTATACTGAGAAAATGCAAACATGAAATTCTTGTAAGAGAGACCACTAAGAAGTAAAATCCCTCTTCCTCTCTCTAATTCATTTTCATATTGGACATAAAGGACTAATCAATTTCATTTTGCAAATCTACCTTGTTATTAGTATCCAATCTACCCCTCTCACATTCCCATCTAATGGGGACTAAAGTTGGCATACAATGTTATTTCTGTTTACACTTCTAAGTTCATCCAATTATACATTGGAACAAAAGATTTGCTCCTTTATAGACTCTTAAATGCCCTTATATTTTGGCCATGTATAAAAACCCAATACATTTGCACAACACACATTGCATGATGTCTAATATTTCCATTTCACAATATATACACCACAAAAATAGTAGAATGTTTAGACTAATTCAATTCCAAATGGATTCAATGAAATCTCCTATAAACTAACTCAAATAAACCAACATGAATCAAACCAAGCTCAAGAACAGTAACTGAAACCACAAAATCATACTGCACGTGAAATGAATAAAATAAAAGACACAAAAAAAATCAAATAAAAAGGTTTGAACAGGGCACTACATACCTCCCAGCAGATACATATCTATCGGCATAATCAGTACCGAATGGGAGATCCTCCGCGTCTCCTTCGACAATTTTGCATTCCTTTAATGCCTCTTTCTGCTTTGCTTTCGTAAGCTGATGAGGTTTTGGGTGTTTTGAAGAACAATAACCCCAATAAGAGGGAGGAGATTGAGAAATTGTTGAACCCTATGTCGAATCATGTTTTCGATCAGATGGTTTCCTTTGGGAACCTAATCACTGATTTCCAAGAAGAAGAAGACAATGTTATGATTGATGATAATGTGGGTTTTACTGTTGTGTTTGACGAGGAAGAAGAACAGAAAAATCTACAGTCAAATCTGTGAGTTGATACATCAAAGTAGCACGTTAAGAAGGGTTTATCCATCAATCAATGGATTAAGAGAGCATCCATCACCCTCCCAGCAAATTAAGAATCCTGGGATGAGATTGCAGATAACTAAGTATTGCTAGCTGACTGTTCAATGTGAGGTGTATAAATTTGAACAGGAAGATGTTTCAAGTAATAATAAAAAAGGGGTGGTTTAAAAAATAAAAAAGACAATCTAATTTTGGCCAGTTAATCGATGTAAAATATTAGTCGCTAAAAGTACAAATTTGGCGACTAAATTTTTTTGGTCGCCAAAATGTAACCTTCCGCGACCAAATTTGTAGTTGGTCGCGAAAAGCATACCAATTTCTGCGACGAACTCATTTTTGGTCGCCAAGATGTGACCTTCTACGACCAACTCATATTTGGTCGCCAAAAATATTGATCATTCGCGACTAATTAATATTTGGTCGCCAAATGTCATTTTTTTGCGACAAAAATTTTTTTGGTCGGCAAAAGTGGTCGCCAATTGTGTAAATTCTTGTAGTGTGTTTTAATTTTTAATCAAGGGTAAAAGAGTCATTTTATTTTACTTCCTAGCTCAAGATATATAATCTCACCCCTACCCCATTATTAATAATCCTACAAATTTATTGGATTAATTATCCATTGAATAAATAATCCTGAAACAAAATTTCAAAACAAACACAGGATTGTTGGGCCCACAAATTAATAATCTCAATCCCATGCTCTAATCATGTTAATCAAACATGCCCGCAGTGTATTTACTATTAGGTTCATGACTTTTTTGTTTAGAGTTTTTAAAAATTCTATAAATAAAAAAAAATAAAAAAATAAAAACTGTAAATATTAATGTGACTAAAAATGCCCCAGAAAATGAAATTCCAAGCAAGCATGTTAATTTAAAAAGAAGCTTGTAATAACTTGATAATGTCAAGCTTACTACCATATCCTTTTTCTATATACATAATTTCCAGTTCTTTCACAAGAGAGAAGGGTTGCAGTTTGGTGGTTAGGGGTAATTATTCACAGGAAGATATGGATAACTTTTTTTTTAAGTGAAACCATACACAGTCTTATTTCAGAGAACTGACCAAATTTATATGGTTCATACATTTTTGAAGAAACCGGTCTACTGACACGGCCCCTGCTATAAAGATGGAGATTCTCCCCCTCTTTCTCAAGGTGTTTTAAGATTGTTTGTGGTTCTTTGTCTTACTCTGCAACACTTCTTTCAGAACACCGGCAATTCTATGTGCCATGTGGCGTTCTAAGAACATTTCTTTCACCCTCTCATGGCCTCTCCTTCCCATTGTAAGCCTTCTCTCCTTCCCATTAACTAGATGAACTGAGGGAAAAGATTTGAATACGAAAACAGAAAGAATTCGATAATGTGATTTGTTATAATGGACGTTGAGTCGTGCAGCCGAAGAAGATACTGACATGGGGAGAGTCAAGTTGATTATACAGTTCCCACTACTACAGCTGGAGGTGGAGGGAAAATTATAAATTTAAAAAAAGAAAATCGGGAGAATTATGACACAGGAATGTAAAATCTTTTTGTTTTTTTTTAAGCACAAATCATGAGAATTATGTTTTGAATATTTTCCTTTTGCAAGTGGCTTCTCTCCAGTTTACACAATATTATTGGGCCTGTAAAGTCTATTATAGGTCTTATTTTAATAATCTAAATGTGTAAAGTTTGTCGAGTACTTCATGCCTGCAAAAAATCACATTGATCGGATATCAGTTGCCCCTTGATCGGAACACACTTTTGTTAACAATTTATTTTTAAAATCATATTTACCATTGACAAAAATGTGTTCCGATCAAAGGGCCACCAATGTCCGATCAACATGATTTTTTATAAGTATGAAGTACTCAACAAGCTCTACATATTGAAGTATTTAAATTATCGAAACGGGACCTGTGATGGGCCCCACAAGACCAAAAGTACGCTCCTATCCACACAATGTACTTGAAACCTCTCCCTTTTCTTTCATAATATTTCCTCCATCCCAATTTATTTGTTCATTATAGAAAATCTAACTTATTAAAGAGATATGCAATCATTACATTTTAATTCAAATTTTGAAATGTTTTTTCCACCATTACCTTTCTTTTTGAATCTTAAAATGTGTTTATAATGATTTATAAGGGGCAATTTTGAAAATCCAATAAAATTTTCTAAGAGGGCTACTATTAACACCTATCTAATTTCTTTGGACTTCCTATTTCTTTAAACCCCTACTTTAAACCTTAAATTTTAATAAGATTTCTTTGAATACTTTATTTAATACCAATTTTATCCATATTTATAATATCATCACACCCAAGTGCACAATTTCTCTTCTTCTCTCAACAAACGATGAATGATTGAGAGACAATTGAGAACAACAAACGATTGAGAGACGAATTGACTGTCCATCTCTTCTCCTTCTTTCATAAACGATAGTCTTTTTTTCCTTGTCACCGTGAACAACGGTATCTCAGTCAAAAATCTTTTCGACTGTCCTTTTCTTCTTCTTTCAAGTAACCTCAAACTCCTCCTCACATATTATTTTATTTTTTTTGGTTTATTTCAAGGTAAAACCCACCATATAGGGGGTTTTAGAAGGAACAACCCTAAAAAAAAAGGCAGAAAGGGATTTACAAAAATGGAACCGTTCGGTATTCCAGTGCCGAACAAAATATTTATGTTCAGCACTGTATCACTGAATTAAATGTTTTTGTTCAGCACTGTATTATTGAACAAAACCATAACAGTTGGCAAACCAGTACTGAATCGAAAACGATCCAGAATCAAAAATGTAAAATATATAAACTTACCAATATAACGTCAACCTCATCAGAGTTGTTGTCATCGTCCTCCATTACTTTTTAAGTATCAACCAAAGGTGAAAATGACCACAAATGTAGAAACTCGGAGTCTGTAATAGGATCATTTGCAACGTTAACTGATTTGGAACATCGAACACATTTGAAACTACCGAACAAAACATTAACTAATTAGGTAATTCCAAGTGTTTTTCATTGAAGATGAACACGTGGGTTTACGATGGTGATGAAGATGAATACGAATAGGATTTAGATTGGCAAGGAATATGTATAGATGGAGATGAAGATGGGTGTACAATATTGTAGAGTATCATTCTAATTGTTTTCATTTGGTGGGCGGATATTTTATTAAAAATTGTCATTTAACGTAATTTTATTTCATGGTATAATTGTATAAAAAAAATTAAGAATTGGAGGGTCCAAAGAAATTAGGTAGGTGTTAATTAATAACAGTACTCTATTCTAAGATGGAAGTGGACAAAAATTTTAAGACAGATTAAAATAGAATAAGGTACAAACAAAATGAGACAGAAGAAGTAACATTTTGACAATAGAAAACCCACTATATTTAATATTTGTAAACTCAACATGTTTGTTTTGATTTTTAAATTCTTTTTCTTCTAAAAAATTATAAATTAATTTGACAAAAAAATAAAATCAAAGCATTTGTCATTAAACTAATTTTTACAATATTTTTTTAATATTTATTTTTATTAAACTAATTTTTATTTTTTAAAATTATATTCAAACATAATTTCAAAAAATCAAATCAAACGTGACCAATGTTTCACCTTTCTCTCTCTCCTTATTTTTTATGTGTGTGGGTTCTAATTCCACTTAATCAAACGTGGCCAATTCCCCAGAATGTAAATCCACTATCTCCAGTTCCCAACTCATTATCTACCTGCTACCACTTCATCATTATTACATATTGGCCTATTAGAACTCAACTCTTATTTTGTTCCACATTTTATATTTTCTAGTAAAAAAAATTTATATATTTTGATTTAAATACATTTAAAAAATATAAAACAAACTCAATAAATATATATTAAAAAAATACGAATATGTATTGAATTTTTTATTTAATGAATATAAAATATATATATATATTATTTTTTAATTATAGTTAGTTTGGTCATGTATTTGTAGACTTTAGATAAAAAAGTTTGATTAAAATATTTAAAAAATTCACAAAAAAAAAAAAAATAAAAAAAAAAAAAAAAACTCAATAATTATATTTAAAAAGTCAAGGCAAACTAAGTGATTATTCTCCCTTTTGTGTCTCTTAATTCATGTATTGCTTAATTTTGCCCTTTTTTCCTTTCTTTTTTGCTCCATTGATTCTTTTAGCATAATAAGGTTTCTCTCAAAAATTTATAAACATGGAAAATAAAGAAGAGGAAAATTTTTGTTGTTTATTATTGATTTTAGGAAAACACTATGATACACAATTCTCAAATTTAATATTTCAATTTAGTTCTTCCGTCTTGGAGATTAAAATTAATAATTTTGAAAAATTTGTTAGTTTTCTAAGGAGCATACATTAAAAAAATTAACAAAAAATTAGATGGGATGACCAATTTGAACTAGTCTTAAAGTAGGAACCAAATTCTTTTCAACATAGACTGACGAAACCTTAAAAAAGCGACAAAAAGGTCACATCCCTCCCCATTGTCAGTCTGAGATATAATCGGTTGGAAATGGTAGAAAAATTTTAGGTAAAATTAGAATTTTTTTTCAAGTTTGGTCTATTTTTTTAGTGGGCCGAGTGTCGATTTACTCGGGTCAAAGTGGTAACGCGTTCTAATGCCGCGTTGTGATTCACGTGGTATATTTGGTTGCTCAAAACCATTACCGAGTGAATAGGAAATTGAAGCCAAAGTGTGCTCCATGGAAATGGAGTTTTGGTGGAAATTCCTTAAGGTTGTAAATTGGCTTGTCCACATTGATTGGTGGGAAGTTTTGAAAGGGTTTATAAGGCTTGAGTGAGATACTTGGGATGTGCCCCAAGGGGTACCCAAGTGTTTTAGAGGGAGATGTTATGGGCAAAATGGGCTAGACTCATGTGACCTAAAAATCACCAACACACGCGGGCGGGCTGGGCGCGGGTGCGTGGCGTGTGGTTGGGTTGGGCTTCTAATTTTTTTGGGCAAAAAATATTTGAATTTAATTTATTTTTTGGTAAAATAAAATCCAAATTCAAATAAACTAGTTTGGATTATTGTTCATCAAACAGGGCCCTTCCCGTTTTCAAACAGAATTAAACTGGTTTGGATTTATTGCTCATCCAACAGAGCCCTTCCCATTTTTATTTGTTTGAATTATTAACCCAACAGATTCAAATCTGTTTAAATTTGAACTAACAGGTTTCATACCTGTTCAATTCAAAACCAAGAGCCACCTTTACATCTATAAATAGACTAGCCTCCCATTTGAATTTCACTCCAATTTTCGTATCCATTCTCTGTTTTAAATCTCTACATTTTGCTGCATCTTATTTCTGAAAGAAATAGTGTAAACACTTTGTGTGTTCGACGAACGATTAAATTGTAGTGCTGCTTTTATTCGTTGATAAGATCATTTTATCTGGGAGATAGACGTCCAATTCTGATAGCACCGTGGAGAGGACGAATCTGTCTTAAGGATACAGTGTCAAACACTGGACTTGATCAGAAAATAATTCGAACAAATTAAATCAAGTAAGTTGTTTAATTTTATTCTGTTTTTATTTGTTTATTTAATCAGATTTTATTTTTGTTTTTGTAACAAAATAAAATCTGTGGTTTTATTTATTTATTTATTATTTCGAGTTTGATTTTTGTAATCAAACAATTTCTCTCATTTTCTTTATTTCTTTAAATTCTAATTGTTGTTGTGTACACAATAAAATTAAATCTTTTAATTACAGTGAAGATTGTCCAACAATCGTAAGACAGATTTTTTTTTTTTTTTGTATCTTCATTGTATTTAATTTTTTGTGTTTTCAAATTAATATTCTGGTTGGAAAATAATAGATGATTTATGCTATTTGACAGATAGTAGTAATATACTGTCTCTTTTTTTTTTACAACTAGTAGTAATATACTGGTGTCATTAACAATTGCAGAATATTAATTGGTATTACAGAAAATTATTGTGATATTTTATTTTGATT